ATTACACCTTATTCAAGCTGCAGATACTAAGCATATACTAATAATTATACTTGATATATTGTTAATACAGTAATAATACCTACAATTAAATACTGATTACACAACCTTGTCTTAATTAAGATACTTGCAGAAAAATACTTTCACACTATATTAGTCTTATTAAGCACAAGTTAAACTAAGTCATATAACTCTTACAAGCACTTTTCTATATTTATACTTCTATTATATTTGCAATATCTGAAATATACATCTCTAACATTATATTACTAATTATATAAAGAGAATAAATAATCCAGATCTTCTAAGCATTAGCTTATATATTTGTTTCTAATAACTTCAAAACAATTTTTGGTCTTTTAATATATCCTAATCCTATAGTTAATAGATTTAATAAAAATACAACTAATTACAAAATAATTTAACTTTTTAAGCACCTTGGTATAACAATTATATATAATCCAATTTATAATATTCTATATACTCTACAAAAAGATTTAATATTTCTTGAATCTATATTATTATTACATTTTGACTATATTACTTTTAAGCAACAATTTTGAAAACACTATATTTTATATTTAGATCAACTTACAATATTCTGCCTTCTTAGCTAAGAGTATATTAAATCTAGACTTTATAAAATTCTTTAAGAAAAAACTATTATAGTTCATAACTCTTGAAAATAAAGTAACTAACTATAATAATACTTTATAATTACTACAATCTTTTTAACAATAACTATTTTAATTATACTACTAGACATTTTCTTTAAGACCAAAACCATAGCTTATTACTACTACTAAAAATTAAATAGTTATTAGCAAAGCTAAAAGACAGATTACTTTAACTAGTTCTGTACTTATAATATACTAGCAATGCTTCTTTCAATTACAATTTACTAAATTATATTCTACTTCCCCTATTGACACTACTTCTTGTTCTTGCTGTTCTCTTAACTCTAATTTATCTTATTGCTAATACTTATATACTTTTTATTTCAATTAATATTGTATCTAAATTTTTTTATATTTATAATTCTCAAAACAAAACTATCAAATTCTATATTAACTTCTTAGATCTGATATATTTGATTACTATTTGTCTAACATTTTTTATAAAACATCTTCAATTCCTTCTATATTTGAATTTGGATCACTCACTAATATTCTATAAACTATTACAAACTCTAATTCATATCTTTCAGAAATTATTTTCTTTACAAATAGTTCTGTTTTGAACCTTGGCTTACCAAACTACTCTATAGGTATTAGATGTGTACAAACTTTATAAGACAATATAATATATAAATTCTAAGTACAAATTAAATACTGACTATGCTCTTTCAAAGCAGACTTTTTGCTATATTATTAGCAATTAGTACTGTACTCAAATTTTATATTGTTTATATTTTTACAAACTTACAATCTGTTATCTCTAGATATAATAGTTTTATACAATTACTCAATTAATTATCTTTTATAAATTCTCTATACTCTATACTTTGGTATACTTTTATTACCTTTATTCAAACCTATAATCTTCAAATTAGATTTTATAAAGTTACTGCATATCAGAACAATTATTTTAATTTGTAATCCACGAGTCAGCCAGAAAGTGATCATAGTAAACTATAACTCAGATTACTATATAAATTTACTATAGTGCGAATGTGATCTGCATGAATCTAAAACTTTTTTTATACTAAGTTAATCACCTTTCTTGCTTAAGAAACTTTTGTAGAGCCTGTCAAAACGCATCTAATGGTAGTTAGAACATTAAAATTAGCCTGCTGAGTGCTGAGATATCTTTAAACCTACTTTTTTTTATTATATAAACTTCTTTGCAAACAATAGTATTGTTTGCAAAGAAGTTTATATAGTAAAAAAGGTTTTTAAAGATATCTTAGCATTCAGCAGGCTAATTTTGACATTTTAACTACTATTAGATGTGTCTTAACAGGCTCTACAAAAGTCTCTTAAACAAGAAAGGTGATTAACTTAATATAAAAAAAAGTTTTAGATTCGTACAGGCTATATTCGCACTATAGTAAATTTATATAGTAATCTGAGTTATAGTTTACTATGATCACTCTCTGGCTAACTTATGAATTACTAATTAATAAGAAATATAACAAAAATCAAATGATTTTTTAGGGGTAAAGGAGATAAAAAATTTAATATTATATATAAAGACCTAATTAAAATATATATTAAAAGAGAGAAGGAGGATAAGCTTCTAATAAAAAAAATCAGGTAATAAATAATATTATCCTAATTTTGCTGACCAACTCACCTACTGTTACCTTATTTCAGCCTACCTTATCTTTAAACCTTATAATATCTATAATTTAAACTATATTTTTTACTTAATGAATACCCTTTGAAGTTACCAATTCAATGTTCTATTCATATTATCTGTTATGTTCATATTTATGCCTTGTGGTTATCTTAACACAGATTTTAACAATAGTCACTACATATAAACAACAACTAAAAAATTTTAAACTACTTACATAGTTTTTAATTATCTACTCTTAAATCATTTTGTATAAAAATTTTTCTGAATGAACTGCTTACTTCTTACACCAAACTGTTACTAATGCAACTAAATAAGTATTCTACTATATTAGATTATATACTTATTATCTTAACTTATTTATAATTTAATAGACAGTTCTTTATAATATATCTTTAATTCAAAATTGTTTGATACTTTATCTGAAGAAATTGCTATACTCTATAATTAAATTAAAAATCTGAATAGTATGATATTTCATAATTACTATACTCTATCTCTTAACTCTATCTTGTCTAGTTTTATATCTAGTAATATTATAGACCTATTCACAATTACTATTAAATTTTTTTATATCTTAATTTACAAATTTATCATAATATTTAGATATTCTACTATATCTCCTATTTTCAGATTCAATCTACCTACAATACTGCATCTTCTTCATCTTCTTCTTATAATTCTTTATCTTCCCAATCTCTTCAAAATTTATCTTTTGATCTAGCTTGCTCTAAATTAAAACTTTGGTACACTTTATGAATTAAGTACTAAATAAATTCAACATATATACTTTCTAATTTACAAATCTAGATGAGCTATGACCACTCTAGTTGGTTTAGACTGCAGATAAACTAGTCTGAGTTTTTTTTTTTGCTATCATAAGATATAAAGTTTAAATTGTAATTTTTTTTTGTACAAAAGATTTTAATTAAATTTAATAAAAACAGAAGTATGATTTCACTATTAATATTCAAAAAAAAATAGATAGAACTAAGATTTTGATTAGATTAATTTAAACAAATTCATTTAATTTTAAATACTATTTATTTTATAAACTTATATAGGAATAAAAAAATTATTTATTGTAATTTAGACTATACAAACTTAATAAATTAGTTCTTATAAACTAACTAAATTAAATTTGCAAACTTTTTTTTAAAAATAACTATATTTACTATTTAGATTTGTTTTTTTAAATTTATAAAAAAAATTTATATGTTTTTTATATATAAACCTTTCTGAAAAGTCAGGTTGCCAGATTATTTTTTAAAATTTTTTATTGAGATCTAAAAAATTAACTTTGTATAATTTTTTAAATAAATATTTATAAAAAAGTAAAAATCAAAATAATTAAATATATAGTTAATTTTATATATTTATATTTAAAAAAATTTAAAACAATTTTAAAACTTAATTTAGGATTTTAAAATGTCCAAAAATAGGTTCAAAAATTTAGAACTGACCTAAAACTAACTTTACTATTAAATATAGTTAAAAATTTATCAAGTAGCAAAAAAAAACTTGATCTTACTAAAACTATTTAAAATACTCATATCTTAATATATTATATTTAAGAATTTTATTAATAACAACTTATATTAAAAAAGCTTTAGTAGTTTTAAACTTTATATTGTTAACTTGCTTTTAGTAAAAAATTAGTTCAAATAATTATTTAAATTTTTTTTATATTTTATTAAATTATACTAATAGTATTTAATACTATATTTTATATATTGAATATTTAGTTATAAGTTTATTTACAAAATAACAAATATATTGTCCTATAATTTATAAATTCTTATACTTTGCAATTTATTAAATCAATATTAGCAATTTTACCACTATTAAAATTATATATAAAAAATTTTTACAACTTTAAAAATACAAAAAAAAATTATTTAATTATTTTGTAAAAATACTATTTTTGATACAGTACTAATTTTGGTGAAGTTAAAAAATTACTTGAGTATTATTTCTAATAATGTTCTAAAAATGCACCCCAATTCTAATTTTTTATACACTTCGCTATAGTAGTATTGTATTTTAAAGGCCTTTGTTTAGGACCTATCAGGAATGGTAACGGTAAGCATATCTTATATCAGGAATAGTACCCAGGAATGGTATTTTGCGTTTACTAAATCTCAAAAAAAGGAAAAATATGTAGTAAACAACAGTAAACAGATATCTAAAATTAAAATCAAGGTTTTATATAAATTTATAAAATTTAAGTGCATCGTTTAACTAACGCTGATAATTATGTCTAGTACAACAAATCATTATTTAGATACAATAATTTTTTTTCCTGTCTTTTATATTTAAATATCTCGAATGGCCCACCCCTCAGAAATAAAGAGCCCATTTTAAAATTTTTATTACAAGTAACGAATAATTAAGGCTAAAACAACATAAATAGTAATGTCACGACTAATGTATTATCTTATGATACTCTTGGTTTTTATTAGGTCTGCCTCAGCCCGTAAGTTAACAAATTGTCTTTTTGCATGTTATTTAAAGCGAATTCAGTAAAAAGATTCGCCATATAGCAATAACTGCGATTATAATTATAAGCCAAATAGGAATTTTTAGCTTGTTCATCTTATCCGACTTCTTAATTATAAAGAATTGCTTGATTAAAAAAATTCCGCAGATAAACGAAAAAAAGCAGGTAACCAAATAACATTGTATATATCTATATTTTCAGAGGCTCAATCAGTTAAAGCACCTGCAAAAGGTGCCCCCTCGCCTGCTGTCACCATTCCAAAGGGTGCCCCCTCACCCGCAAAGGGTACACCCTCGCCTGCTGTCACTATTGCTCCCCCGCCTGCTGCCCCAAAGGGTGCCTCCTCGTCTGCTGTCCCAAAGGGTGCATCCTCTCCAACTGCCGCAAAGGGTGCTTCCTTGCCTACTGCCACCATTGCAAAGGGTACACGTTCTCGCCAACCAACCTCTAATACAACTGTGCCTTCTTTTTCTGTACCTTCTGTTTCTACTTCTAAAGAAATTTCAGGACAATCATCTTCCCCTAATATTGGATTTTACATTGGTGTTGCTATAACTGGTGTTGTGGTTGTTATAATACTATCTTTTGCAGGGTATTACATATATCAAAAATATTTATATTCAAAGTATATTCCAACTCCCGGCACCGTTGATATGACTCATGGCAACAATGGTTGATCACAATATATTGTATGTTAAATAAATAAACGTTAAACTTTCTAACCTTTTTTTTTTCTTTTTTTCGAAGCAATCAAATCCGACATAATTGTATTATGGATTGGAACCACTTAAAATTTTCTAATAGTTTAACCGTTTAACCATGCTAACCGTTTAATTCAGTCAGCATTAAAATAATTCTGGTTCATGTCGGAGATATGGAATATTTTTTGAACGATTAAACGGTTTCAATCCTTAATTGCTATTATAGGTATTTGGTTTGATTACTTTATCTAGATTTGATTATTATTACTATGTCTATATTTAAAGAAAACCGTGTATATAAATATAGAAAACAAAATTAGAGTTGTAACTTTATGCAATTTTACATGTTTCACTAAATTAGATTTCATGTAATCGTAATTTGTTTCTTCTTTTAAGTGCCGTGATAGTGGAGCTACAATGCAATGAAATTAATTTGACCAAACTTCAGTAATGCTTGTGCTTTACATATCACATATGAAAATTATATGAAATCTAACTGAATTGTTGCAGAATGAAAACTTGTATTGAATAATTTATGATCAATTACAAGTTTTTGCTCTACAACATTCAATTTACTGAGACTTACATAAAATTTCATAATGTAATTTTCGTAATACAGCCCCTAACGGTTAAACAGAATTTCCAAAAATCATTTGTAGAATATATGTGACCAAAAGAATGTTCAACTTCTAATTGGCATTGTCATCTCAGCCTATGCTAAGCAATCCATAATATACTTTTAAAATAAATTTAATTATATGTATATAGTTATTTCTAACACTATATGTATTTATGAAGACCAGTCTGGAATGTCTCAAGAACAAAGACAGAATAATCGGTGTTTCCAGAACTAATCCATTTCTATTGGCACTTATCTTCTATATTAGTGAAGCCAATAATAATTAACTATATATATATGTAAAATATTGGATATTGCACATGACTGCATGATAATAATAACATTCTCGAAACTTAAAAGCTAGTTTTGTCCCGGACTTCAATACGTAATAGCATTTATTTACTGAATTTGTTCATGCAGATGTGCGAATGTGTTCAAAAATCTTTATGCAAATCAAAACCAAATTCATTAACAAATTTGTTAATAACGCTAAAGTTTACGACATTATGTGGATTCAACGTAAAATATATATGATTTATTGTAATTAACTTTTTTGTACTCTTTACAAAAGTGGTTAATTTCTATAGATTTACTAAGCCAGAAATTGACTGCTCTTAATCAATTGAGGAGCTTGCGCACATGTATATATGTTATTTGTTTCTTAAAAGATATTAAGCTGTATTCATGCTGCACTTCGTCTAAGTAAGAAGTTTACGTTTCATTCACGCCGTAAATTCATAATAACTATTGCTAGAATTATACGTATATACTCTACGATCTCAAGATTTTTTTTAAAATTTTTCATGGAAGAAAAAACAATATTATTCAGAAAATTGGACTTTATTCCTAGCATATTATTTCAACCATAATCATTCTTTTCTTGTTATCTCAATTCGAAATATAAACAAAAGGCAATAGTCGAGATTGTTTTCTTTCATTAGCAACAGTTATCTTAACTATTTGCGGCATTCTGATTGGAAGACAAATTCCTAACTCTTTAAGGTTCGCATGGTATGAAACACGTAACAATGATAAATAAACCAATTTTTTTTATAGCTTATTTGCACACTCCTAAATTTTCTTTTTTAATACCTGAATCTTCCTTGACTTTCCTTAGCGCGTCATGGTATTACGATATTTATTTGCTACTGTACTGCAATATATCCCAAGGTTATCTGTATATTGAAGCTTGGTAGAAAATTTTATCCACGAGACTTTTGGAACACTTCACTATTCAAAACTGCTGTAGTATCTCATTTAAATGTTTTCAGCCTGCGTCGCAACTATAGATGCTGGTGAAACTGGTGAAATTTAATATAACAACCAATCAGATTTTAGATAGTCACCAGTTTCACTAGCATTATTTAATTTCATCAGCATCTATAATCGCAACTGTATTGTTATTTTTGATTAGGGTCACCGACTATCTGCTTATCTGCTGCGACTGACCCCAAATTCTACTTTCGATAAAAGTTTATTTACGCGAAATTATGCGATAAAATTTCTATAATTATGCGCCGAATTATGCGATTTATGCGAATCGAATAGAAATATGCGACCATTTGACAAAAAAAATTATATCGAAATTCCTGTCTAAAGTATATTTACTGTCATGGATCAAAATGAAATCGGATTAAAATGAAATTTGAGATTTCTATTTAACCCTAAACCCGCTTATACGTCTGATTTCATTTTGATCAGTCATTTCTATTCTGTAACTATCCGCTAACTTATAGCAAATTTAAAATATAATTACTATAAAGTAATTATATAGTTATTTTATAGTTACTTTATAGCTAATTACAAGTAGCATTAAAGTTACAAATTTGCAAGTTCTAGTAAAGTAGTATTTAAATAGTTTAAAGTTTGATCATGAACTTTTTGTTTATTATTATTCTTTATTGCATATTCTTCTTCATACTTAATACAGTCAAACCTCCCTATAGTCACCCTCTATATAAGCACATATAAAAATTTTCTTTATAAGCATATAGAAAAAATACTTCTTTATAAGCACATCTTAGTAAAATTCTCTTTACAATTACACAAATCTTTATCCCGAGGGGTGTGATTATAGGGAGATTAAACTGTAATTAACTTTTTAATTATTAAAATTTCTAAAACTTTAGAATTATTTTTTAAATCATTCATTTAAGCAGGCAAAATTGCCTGTTTAAATAATTTGACAAAATAAAGCACAAAAAAATTTTTTTATAAAAATTTTAATTTTAATTGGTTATGGTAACTCCTAAAAGCTTGAGTCACATGCTACATTTAACAGTTACAGTGTAATATACTTGAAATGATTTAAACAAAGAGCATAAATTCATAAAATATGTCATTTTAACTAAGTTTTTAAGTCACCTAATTTTCTTGCATTATTTCAAAAAACCAATTCTGTAAAAAAATTTTTGGACAACTTCATTATTATATTATAAAAGGACTTCTGTGTAATAATCATGAAGATCTTTCATAATTGTTATGTGAAAGTATCACTTTTATTATTAAATTTGATTATAAAGATTATATGAAAATTATATAATAGTTAATTATATTTAGACAATTTTGAAATGTCATTGAAGAAATTTCATAAAATAATAATCATATAATAACTAGCATATAATTCTTTTATTCTAGTCAAAAGATTTTTGGATGTAGTTTAATAAAATTTAAAAAAATTGTTTAATAAGAGTATAGACATTTATCACCTGATTTTTTAGGTGTAAAAGGGGTTTTTAGATATTATATAATATAGTATTATTAGTCAATCAATTAATATCCAAATCACTAACTTTTCCTAATGATCATTTGTATCAAATTTTTCTTAAAACATTTGCTATTTACAAAAATTCTATTAAGTAAACCACCTTTGGCTGTCTAAGTAAAGTTGTTCTATACTTAATTTTACTTATAAGTAGCCTAGTTTTATAGCTTTAAAGCCTTTTGTTGCAGTGTTATAATTATATTTTTAAAATTTCACTTTTTCTCTATTTTCTTAAAATTTTATTAAGAAAATCTATATTATTCCCTAATTAAAAAAGATTAAGCTCAATAATAGCTTCATTTTGATATATAATACACCTTAAACAGATAAAAACTACAAATTTTATAATTAAAATACTTCAAAACTTTGCTGCAAAAACTACTCTCTAATTTTTGCAAAAAAAATTGTATTTTTGGGGGATTTCTGTCCCTCTAGGATGCCCAAACTTGCAGATCATTATTATTATTTTTTTTTTTAATGTTAAGGTGACTACTTTGGAGTCTGGCACGTTTTATTAAACTTTGGATCGAATGCCAGGGCAGCTACAGGGCTACCCCTGACTTTGTTACATTAACGAGGATACATACTAGCCATATGTACA